AGCATTATAGTTTTATTTTCAAGCCTTAAAAAATGCTGGTCAAATTCCCAACCTCATTACTCATCTGTTAGTTGTTATAAATGTGGCTTACATGTTGCTATGAAGCTGGGAGCTAAGCACAGGTATTTCAAACAACAGCCAGGGATAGGTTTTAGCAGAACATCCAGACTAAGACAGATTAGAAAGAAATCTTCCAAAAATTAGCCAACGAAACCCCTAAGTATCACAACTGGATATTGTCCAATATGGGTGCTGATGTTAAGTGCCCTAGATTAGAAGGCATTGGAAATACAGAGAGGTTGCAACAATGGACTCAAAATTCCAATGATTGTAAAGATGGCTCAAGACTAGGCACTGGAAGTACCTGGATTTTTTTTTTTTTTTAAGGACGTCTGTTATATGCTGAAGGTGGGAGAAGAACGGGACTAGGTAGGAGAACCGATGAGTCAAGAGTTTTCATCTGTTCAGAATTGTTGGCAACTTGGTTTTATCATACATTTCCATTTGCTTTTGTATATGTTTGAAAGTTTCCAAAATCAAAGGTCCAATAAAAGAGTCACTAAATGAATACAGTCAACTTAGAAAATATCATTTTCATAAATAATTTTCTGTTGTTCATAGATACCATAATGAAGTTTTACAAAAAGAAGAAAGAACGCATCTTCAATTTCTATGGAAATGTAACTGGGAAATGATCACACATGACATGCAGCTAACCTCTGCCTCCAGAGTGGACATCATTTCACCATCTAGAGTGTCTCCTAGACACTGGGCTGCTGAGAGATTCCGCTTATTACTGGTATCATTTCTGTCAATTAGATGGAAGGTTTATATAGAGGGATGTCAGAAATGCTAGTAATAGTTCCTAGCATTTTCGAGGACAAGAAGACAGCACATCTCACAGATGAAGAAAGATGATTTTGTGACAGAAAACAAAAAATTACTGGTTTGTTTAACTTAAAAGGTTAGCTTTATTAAGGCACTTATAAAAGATTTTACAGAAAGAAAGATAAATATGGAAAATTACCTCCATTGCTACGAGCCATCATCAGGGCTTCCAAAGAAGTTGCTGGAGTTATTTCTAGTTGGCAGATCATTACTTTGGCTCTGCTAATGACATTGGCTGCTTCCTTCAGGTCTTCAGTATTCAAAAGCAAATTTGCTCCAGCCACTATGATGATGATATTCTGTCCTATAAAGAAATTTTGCATATTTACATTAAAAACCAAGCAAAGCCAAGCAATGACTTTGTGCAAAGTTAGAATTGCCATCATTAAATCATTTTATAAAATGTTTTGTAAATAGTACCATCAATGTTTCTAGGTCATTTAGATTAAGTTTCGTGTTCGAGATGTAAATACATTTGTTTCTGCGCAATGCATCCTTTCTGTAAGAATCACATAATTCTGATCACTTGCACCAAAATCTTAAAAAGGTTTTCATTATCAATATTCTTATATACAAAGAATATTATAGTTGAGCAATGATACACAACTTACTTAACATTTTTCTTTTACAGGAAAGGGCTGGTACAATGTTTAGGGTAGAGATTCTGAATCTTAAATGAAAACTGTCATATGTTTTGGTTGTTGGTAGCTGCCACTGACTCATGGTGACTCCATGCACAATGGGACCAGACTATTGTCATCATAGGGTTTTATTGGCTGATTTTCAGAAGTAGCTCACCAGACTTTTCTTCCTAGTCTGTCTCAGTCTGGAAGCTTTACTGAAGCCTGTTCAGCATCACAGCCGCAAGCAAGCCTCAGTGACAGATGAATGGTGGCTGCACATGAGGTGTGCTGGCTGTGAATCAACCAGGATCTCCCACATGGAAGGCAAGAAGTGTGTGTGTGTGTGGGGGGGGGGGGGGGGGGGGGGGGGGGGGCTACAAAGGCAAGAAGTGACTGGCTTACAAGCTTTCAAGAGGGCGTGGAGGAAGGTAGAATCTCCACTGAGTAGTATCTAATCTATCCAGGTGGGGTTGATGACATGAAATGCAGATAGGTCTCTTGTGATAAAATAGTGAATAATTGTTATCAGGACTGATTGTGAAGGTTGGAAATGTAAAGGTAGACATTTTGTAGCAAGCAAGAGTGATTACTTTTCACTCTAGGAGCAGAAGTCCCTGGGACCATCAAGGGAGAAGAGAGGAGAGCAGGACCCTACCCAGAGAAGCAGTGATGCCTGAGACGGAGGCAGAGATGATGACGTGGAGAGATGGAGCAGCTGGGGACTTTAGACACAGAGAGGGAGAAGGGCTGTGTGCTGATGACCGGGGGACAGGCTTGTAGTGTATACCCTTTGGTTGGTTGATGATGCATACAGGGGATTGTAACCATGGCCATGAAACGATATATGATAGGATGAATGTAAAGCTAATGTTCTCCCATGTAAACTATCACATAATTCATAATAAAACATTAAAAAAAAAAAGAATTCTACCATGCCACCACCACGGTCCTCAGATGTCATATACTGTTAGTGTTGTTCAGTGCTATCAAGTCAGTTCTGGCTCATAGTGACCCTCTATAGGGTTTCTGAGGAGCTGCTGGTGGGTTTGAACTATTGATCTTAGGGTTAGCAGCAGTCCAGTATTTATCTGAAAGCACCAACACCAGGACTCCAAATGAGCATAAACAGGAACAAACCTGCAGAACACTCAAAATAATATTCTGTAGGATGCAATTGGAGTCCTGGTGTGGCGCTGTAAGATAAGCCCTGGACTATTAACTGTCCTAGGTGGCTGAGGAAATACTTGGTCTTTCTGAACATAAATTTTGATTTTAAAAACTTTATGTAGGTATTTTTATACTTCAGATGGCTGCCAGAAATTACGAAAACTTGAGGAAAAAGAAAGCCTTTATTAAGACAAATGCTTCAACTGTTATTGCTAGGCCTTGTGATAGTTTTCATTTTATATACTTGTATAGACTTCTGAGATTTGATTGCTGTTTAAAGAGCAGACAAAATTGAACGCCAATGATAAGTTAAAAGTAATTAGTTGCTGACATTTGCTCAGTAAATATCCTATAAATATGATTCATCAAACTTTCTTTTGCATCTTTCTATCTACATTTCCTTACCTAGTGTAAATGAAATGACAGATGAATACTTGACTGCTTTTAGAGACAAATGCCAATGCTGAGTTCACATGAAGGGTAATGGGGATGCTACAGAATAGAAATGCTATTTTGAGGCAGTGCTAATGCTTCATACATATACTGGATGGACAATTTTACATGTGAACAATCAATCTGGATATTAATTAAAGAGAAACAGGTCTGTATTTAGATTGGAAAACCATGCTTTGGACTTTGTGGGGAGAAGCAGTAGGGAGGTGGGCGTGGTTAACAGAGCCATAGCATTAGGGTAAAAATTGATGCTTTCAGATCAGATCTAGCTCTGGAAATGATCTGTTTCATGAAATGACACTCAAACATATGAAATACATACCTTCATTATTGACAATTATAGAAGCAGCTCCTGTAGCAGCATCTTTAGTCTGATATGTAAATTCTAAAAGAAAAAAGAAAATTACAATCACATATATACAGCCTGCCATGGATAATCTACTTTAACAATTTAAATGCACCACTAATCTTTGCGGTGGGGGGGAGGGGGCACTTTTTTTAACCTTTAGTCATCTGGAATGATAAAAAAATAAGTAATTAGTGCTAATTTATACCCATCATCTATACAATGAGGAAAAATAGAAGTCTTCACATGTAGTTACACCTTTTCTCTGCATTAATAACAACTCCATCAAACCACCCCCACTTCCAATTACCTAAAATTATTCATAGCTGTATACATATGTGTTTTTCTAAACCAATGCATTTATTTTTTTCAGAGAAATAAATGAAAGCCTTGAGATAAGATCAAACCTGTAAGATGAACCTGCTTGAAATTCTTCATTCTCAAAAATTTTTGCATTTCATCAAGAATCATGGCCTGACTCGCACACAGAAATGCTGATCATACAGCTTCTGGCAGCAGCAAAGAACCCTGACATGGAGTTAGAAGACCTGTGCTCCAGTCCTGGTTTTTGCTCTTACTAGCTGTGTATTCTTTGATAGACCACTGACCCTCTCTGGCTTCTTCTGTGAAATGTTGGTATTAAGCCTCAATGTTTTCTAAAATGGTTTCCAGCTAGAACATTTAACATTTTTTCTTAAAATCTTTTGGAAATGTAGCACCTACTATTCCTTGTCACCTGCTTCTGAAACGTTTCTGTGAGATAAAGGTTTGTAACCTCCTATTGTTTTATTACTACCTGGAGGGATGTCCCTGAAAGATTTAACCAAAGGACATTTAAACAAGACTAGACAAAGCTGTGTTGAAACATTCTCTGGCCACCAGAGGAGGATCTAATGATTCTATTCTATATTCAATTTTTCTTCTAACAGAGCACAGGAAAAAGTTATTAAAAACCAACTTTAAAAAAGAATAAATTTTACCTGTAGAAATACCATTCTGTTTTAAGTTTTCTATATAATCATTGCCAAAAGAATCTTTGCCAACCTGTGTGAAAGAAATGATGAACATTAGATCTTTTACATTTAGTAAAATGTTACAATGTAGTTTTTAGAATACTTAGCATTTTAAAAGGGCATATCTGCAAAGTACTTTATAAACAATAACTAATTAATTTTAATGTAAGATGATAGACTTGATTTCAGTTCAGAGATTTATGTTATATTTTTATGTTTCACTTACATCCTACCTAAAATTTGTGACTCTTACAAATTCCATGAGGGGGCTTCAACAAATCAATGGAAAAATGGAATTAAAAGAGAATGGAATTTTTCTAAGAACTTTTTGAAGCTCCTTCCCCTCAAATAATTATGCTCTTATTTTGATCTGCTCACATGGTAATTTCTATCATTGGAAAGGAATAATCCATCAGGTGTTCCTCAATATTTATGAAGAGTATCAGTCTTTTGTACTTTGCTGAGGACATCTATGGAATGACTTACCTGGTATTCTGGCACCTTTTGATCTTCTCCCCTGACTTTGACATAGAGAGCAAAGAAGAGGGAATTTAAAAGCTTTGGTTAACCTGGGTTCTGGTGTGGTGCTGTAGGATAAGCACTGGACTGCTAACTGTAAGGTCATCAGTTCAAATCCACCAGCCACTCCTTAGAAACCTACTATAGGGTTGTTATGAGTGGGAACCAACTAGATGGCACTTAACAACAACAACCTGGGTTGCTGGAATTCTGGTGTTTTTGCATCTTAGCATCCATTCCTTCTGTAATAGCACTTCAAGTTTTCCTTTGCCTTCACAGGGTAAGATTAGGGTGGGCAAAGGACCTGGCCTAATGAAAAAATATGTTCCACAACACTTGGTCACGGTGAGAAATTCATGAAAGAACTTGATCCAAGTCAGTCCAGTAAGGTTTAATCCTGGGAATTTTATTGACAGTACTATGGAATATAAGACTTCCTCATAGTGAGACTGTACCTGTAAGAGAATCTAAGCCTGTATCCACAGAGTCTCACCATGTGGAGATAGCCTGCGTGAAAATAGGAGAAATATCAGAGAAAGCAGGAGGGAAAGACAGAGACAGACAAACAGGCAGACGAACAGACTGACTCATAATGGCTAGCTGATACCTTAGCTGCCTGGAGCTAATTCTACTTTTTGCTGCTGACTTTTTAGTTACATGAGACAACATGTTCCTTTTTGATACTATCATTATTGCTTAAATGACTCTGAGTTGGGTGTCTCTTCTATGTTACTCAAAACATCCTGACAGTCTCAAAAGCTAGTCACTCTCCTGAACTACAATTCAAGTAGTTGTGCTTTGACCTGGATTCTGAGAACAAGTTTCCACTTTGTGGTTCACTTTTGGTCACAGGATCTGTTTCTCTGAGAATGTGTTTAGATCCTATTTTTTTGGTAGTTCCCCAGTTCCTTCCTTTATAATGGAGGCTCTTTTCTGCTTAACCAATATCTATTGGGACCAAGGCTTTGGTATCAACTGCTATCTTGCTCACCTGCATCTCCTACTGCCTGTTCCAAGGCTTCCAGTGTGGTGCTGGAGGATGAGCACTGGATTGGCAACCACAGATCCCCAGTTCAAACTCACTAGCCACTGTCAGAAACCCTATACAGGGTCGCTATGAGTCAGAACCAACTTGACAGCACAAACCAATAACTCCTAGATGTGTTTGATTTGCCCTACTATTTTTATTTTAAATTAGTTGTCAACATTTAAAGATGAGAAGCCTTTATGAAAACAAACAGATTTTCAGTTGCTGTTTGTTGCTGTGTACCAGAGTCAAGTCTAACTACTCATAGCAACCCTTTAGGACAGAATAGACCTGCCCTGTATGCTTCCCTAGGAGTGCTGTATAGGATAAGCACTGGACCACAAGGTCGGTTTGAGCCTCAAGGTTGGCAATTCAAACTCACCCTCCACTCCCTGTAAACCCTACATATAGGGTCGCCATGACTCGATGCCATTTAACAACAATTTTTATGGGAGCAGATTGCCAGGTTGTTTCTCCAGCAGAGCTACTGGTGGTATAGAAATAAGTGACTAGCAAGCCTGCACTTCATTGCCGTGCCACCACGGTTCTTTAGCCTTCCTTTAAATTGCTTTTATATTAATCTCAGAAAATTGCAAGTTCTAGTAACACTGGAACATCACAATCCTGCAATGTCACCCTGCTGAAACTGACAGGTGATTGCCTTTGTGGTAGGGCACATGCTCTCCAGGGACCACAGCCCCTACCACGTGTACTGTACCCCTTTATGCTACTTGTTTGACCCCTGCCAACCTTTGGACTTGCCACCCCTGACCTAGAAGTCTCTTTTTCTGTCCTGTAGATCAACTTTACTTCAACAGATTATATCCAGATCCAGCTCAGCTGCTCCAAGTAGGTTTTGGGATTTTTTTCCACAGAAAATTGTTTCTCTCTGTATGTATCAACTGAAAGAAACCTAGAGGTACACTCAGGTAATGAGCCTCAGTGAGTGATGACAACATTTCCCGGTAAGCTTTTGAACTAGACCAGAGTCAGAAAACTTTTACCATAAGAGTCAGAAGGTAAGTATTTAAGGTTCTCCAGATCATATGAGCTCTCGTCTAATGACTCATCTTTCTAAAAACAGCCAAAGACCATTCGTAAATAAATGAGTATGACTGTATTCCAATAAAACTTTATTTACAAAAAGTGGTGGGAGGCTAGATTTGCCCCATAGGCCAAAGTTTGCTAACCCCTGATCTAAACGCTATGTCTTGCACTTTCTTCCTCATAGAACACTTTCCCCTTTGTTCCTCTTTTGGTAGAAATCTTGATTAGGCAGTAATCTCAAACAATATATAATAATTTCTTACAAGCTGGATATCTCTCTGTATAATGAAGAGGACCAAACACAAAGTAGTAAGATGGGGACAATCACCTGGGGGTAGGCGTTCATCTACTAACAGCTTCTTTCATGGATGGTTGGACATTTAGCTGACAGGTAAGTGCCAAAGCATCCTATTTCCTAGGTCAAAGATTCATATTCCAAACAAATTCCTTGTTCTCTCAAATTCTTTTCTATTAGCTCTTTTGCTGTGGTAAATTAAGGTGTTATATGTCAAAAACCTAGATCCACTGCTATGGAGTAAATTCTGACTCATAATGACCCTATATGGGTTTCTGAGGCCATAAATCTTTCTGAGGTCTCATCTTTCTCCTGAGAAGTGGTCGGTGGGTTTGAACCACCACCCTGTGGTTAACAGCCCAACACTTATCCCACAGTGCCACCAGGGCTCCTTAAGGTGTTAAATAGTTGAGAAAATATCCTTATATGATTATTATGTCAAGTGACTAAAAAGTAACTGCAGGAATCCAGAAGATGCCATCCCTAAGTGTGTAAGGAGGGTCTGATACAAATTAGGATGTATTCTTTTTCTATTTTAGTTTTGTACATATCAAGTATAGGCTGGATAAAATGTAGGTGAGAATGTAAAAAGTAGGAAGAATTATTGTAAAGGAGAGAAAAAAAAAATGCCGCTTTGTCTTTCAGAAACTGATACTATCAGAGAAATAAGAAGACACAGAGACAACTCTAACACCAGGTGGAATATCATGTGCATCAAAGGCCTAATTAGGAAGGGATGCCATGCTCATGGTAACTGCAGTTTACAGGTTTGCTGTAGTTGTATTTTAGACATGGCAACAACTTTTGTCTGCTCAGGGATTTCTCTGATTTGCTACAACCCTTGATGATGGTGCCCTGGGTGGCATAAGTAGTTTACGAATGACTATCAATCGAAGAGTTGACAGTTTGAACCCACCCAGCAGGACCTTGGAAGAAAGGCAGGGTGATCTGCTTCGATAAAGATTATAGGCAAGAAAAGCTTATGGAGCCCAGTTCTACACTGTAGCATATGGGGTTGCCATGATTGGCACTGACCAGACAGAAACTGTGTGTTGTGTGTGTGTACAAAGTACATGATGGTTATAATTTCATATTTATAGTTGGCTGGATTTCTGAACTATGTGAGAGGTGGGGAAAAAATGAATACTTTGCTTTGACCTTCTTTGGTATTTCCTTGTTAGAAATCTGGTAGCTAAAATAATAATGAAAAAGTAACACTGTTGAAGACTAAGAGGAGTCAACTTGAGATCTAGAACTTAGAGGTGATGGCCCCTAACGTGGGGACAGGCTCTTTAGGTCTCCACAGCCCCTACCAATCAGTACACCTGCACTGATTTATTATAACCCCTTGATTCCTGTAGGCCAAACATGGCACATCTAGGACATACTGATACATTACAAAGCAAATATAACCTTAAGGGCCTAAGAATTAGAAGCCAGTATTTTCATTTTTGTCATAAAAGTCAGAATCACACTAGCAAGTTACATGAACTCTTTTCCTTATCTGGAAGTGGGAATAAGATAAATACCTTGCTATTTTGTTATGGGGATAAAATAAAATAATATGCACGGAAACAGATTTAAAACTGTAAAGGATTATATGAGTGTAACTTGCTAACATCATCATCTTATCATCATCATCATCATCATCATCAAGGCAGGATTGAAAACCCAGACTGTCATATTGCTATGGTTACTGTCTATTTTACGGAGGAGGGGCAGAGCTACTGCAGCTGGAATCCTCTCTTACAAACTATTTCCCTGCTCATCTGGTCCTCTTCAACACTTTCAATTCCTCCTATTGCTCCCTATTTTCAAACAGAAGACAACTTGATGGTGGATGCAGGCACGTGAGTGCATTACATTATTTTTAAATGAGATGACATTACTACCATACTCCAATAAAAAAAATAACATCTCTATTGATACTTTGGTATAACTAAGAATGTTCATTCATCCTGTAATTTTTATGATAATTAACATTGCCAACTGTGAGTGTACGTATGCCATCGGATAATCTTTAAGATTTAAGCAGATCTAAATCACATATCAAATCACAGACGCAAAGTAATGGAGAACTGAGTCCTACTGAAAACTCTGTGACTCTTTCACTCTGAGTTGCAGAGTAGCACTGATGACAACAGTGTACAATAATATACTAAGATCATGCTGTCTTCCTTATCTTCCCACCCTCAGCCCTCTTATACATTCATTTATCCTTCTTGACTTACTTAAAAGAGCAGTGAACACCTTCCAATTCCCTTTGCTTGTTTCTGACTCAAATCTAAGTCTCCTTTTTAGCTATTGGAAATAGACAAAAAGAAGTTAGAGAAAGTAGAATTCAAGCAAAGGTTTTATTTATTGCCTGCCATTGAGTGTCGAAAGTTTCTGGAAAAATACAGTGGACTACGGAGTCCTGGTGTGGTGCTGTGGGTTAATGTGTCAGACTGCAAAGTCGTTTGAACTGCAAGG